TCATATTTATCTACAATTTAGAAATAAATTTTGCAAGCTAATATTAAGAGTTACAGTTTTTCCCGTGGGATCAATACTAAGGAAAATCCTATATTTACTTGAAACGATATGTATACTTGTGTATTATCCCTAGTATGAAAACTTATCATTTATTTTCCAAATCATTTCATTTATTCGCACTAGTTGCTAAATATATTTTGAGACAAGTTTTTGGAAATTTTAAGAAATATAAATATTGTAATTGCGGGTCGGGTCATGGAGCTCTGGAGAGTTGTTTGGGAAAGGTTTTGTCAGGGCTTTGTCAGTGATGAGGTTGATTCTCCTTTGAACCCGAGAATGAGCTTGGTTTATAGAATCAGTTAGGGGTAGAGGCGCTGCTCCCATTGGCCTGTTGCATTTGTCGTAGATTGCTGAAGTGGTGCTGAGTCAATTAAGAACAACTGGTAAAGATGAGCCAAGTGTGACAAGCCTCCAATGAAGATGCGTCATGTTGGATTTCAGGTCATGGTGAGCTTGGCCAAAAAAACATGGACACGGGTTGGCACATCTGCCCACTTCTTCTTGTTGTTGGGTTGGTTAAGAGAATTAGTTGAGGAGGTTTTGGGGAGAGTTGATGGAAATATGCCATGTGGGAAGGCGATTAAAGGTAAAGGCTAGCTCAACCAAGTGAAACTTCTACAATTGGCTTGTATGGGCTCACATGGACTTAGATCAAGCTCACAAGAATATGACTTGGTCTTGCTGATTTGGCTCAAACGAACCAGCAAGACGGTTGGCTCAATGAAGAGCCAAAATCAATTTAATGAAAATGTTTCATAATAGGTTTGAATGTGGTTCAATGTTAAGTTCAAGTATAGTTCAATTTAGTTTTTAATTTGGCTTTTAGATCAACCTAAATTAGGTTCACAAATAAGTTAAATCAATGCTAAAATGTCATGGATAAGCTCAACACAAAGAGCGACTTAAGAAGGTAGTAAATTGAAAAGGTATTAAATTGATTTTGAAATGTAGCTTGAAGGTGGCATCAAACTAGTGTCAAAATGGGTTTAATTTGATTCAAACTTGGGTTCAAATGAATTTATAATTAATTCCAACATGATTGGTTCATTAAATGGATTATAGGTATGAAGAGAATGACCAAGAAAGAAACCAAAGGATTAGGTGTAAATTTGGGGATATTTAATAAGTGAAGGGTGTATATTTGTGTGAGATTTAAGCGTTTGTATTATTATATTTTTATATCTTTTATATTTTGTGGATCTATTAAATTTTATTTTGAAATTTTCAAGATTGTATTTATAGATTATTGAAAGACTTTTCATTTATGTCAATTTTTATTTAATGACTTAATGATTTTTTTTATTTAAAAAAAATCTTTGAAAATGAGCTCCCTACAAGTCAAGAAAAAAGTTGTATAAAAGACAGTGAGAGTGAGTGAAGGAAAGTACAGTGAAGGGAAGGTGAGTGAAAGTGCACCACTACTAGACCTTAACCCCTAAACTCAAAAGTTTTTCTTAAGGCCTTTCAAACCTATAGAAACCCTGCTTGAGTTTCAATATGTTGGCCTCAATCAACTCGACAAAATTTTGAGGATTTAAAACCAAGCATATGAGACTACAAGTCAAAAAAATGGTTCAATTTCTAATTAGTGTGGGTCCCAACACTAGTCCTCTAGAAGAGTCACTTGAAAAATCCTAACGCTAGATTCTAGATTCTAGAGAAAGAGATACATTTCATAAAAAATGATGTCAACACCAACAACAAACGCTTATGTTCTATTAAATTTTATTTTGAAAATTTTAAAGATTGTATTTATATATTATTCAAAGATTTTCCATTTAAGTTAAATATGATTTAATGATTTTTTTTATTTTAAAAAATATTCTTTAATGGATTAATTTTTAGAAAGATAGCAACCTTTCTTATCTTAAAGAGTGCTTCATAATCAAAATGAGGTACATAAAAATTAAGAAAAAAAGTTACATAAAACTGAGTGAGAGTGAGTGAAAGTGAGTGAAGGGAATGTGAGTGAAATTGCACCACTACCAGACCTAAACCCCTAAACTCAGAAGGTTTTCCTAAGGCCTTCCAAACTAATAGGAACTCTGCTTGAGTTTCAATATGTTGGTCTTAATCAACTGGACCAAATGTTGAGGATTTAAAACCAAGTATATGAGACTACAAGAAGTCAAAAAAATGGTTCAATTTCTAATTAGAGTGGGTCCGAACATTAGTCCTCTAGAAGAGTCACTAGAAAAGTCCTAAGGCTAGATTCTAGATTCTAGAGAAAGAGACAGACTTCATAAAAAATGAGGTCAACACCAATAACAAACGCTTATGTTTTATATCCAAGGGATTTCCATGGGAATAGCTTTGGATTAAGGTATGGTTTTTTTAATATAAATTTAACAAATTTTATTTATTTTTTCAGTTGAATTTACATGTTAATCACACATGGAATGAACAAAGGGCTAGACATATACAAAAGGAGATATTCAAAGCTATAGAGACAAAATTGATGGTTTACTAGAGAGCCATAAATTCTTAAATTGATGTGCATCACTCAAGGCATTATTATCATATTGAAATAATATTAAAATTTATGCAACTATTAGGTTGTATGACTCAATATGGCCATCAAATTTAGATGTGATTTGTTGAATTATACTTTACTATGGGGACATGTTGCAGGTTCAAGCACCACTTTTAGTTAGCCTTATGTCAACTGAAACTTACCATATCATGTTATGAGACAGTTTGGTGAAGTATAGAGGATCAACGTGAATCCAATGGAGCCTAGCATTTCAAAAGTAGATGGAATGAAAAAGCAAATGTGGATTGGGGGGACTATCATTGTCGATGCATATACTTAAGATAAGTTGGCATGTCATTTGGTCCATCATGGTTAGGATCAGGTAGATAGTGTTATTTATTTACATTGACACAAGTAAATGGCTTCATTATAATTGCTATAAGAACCCACCAAAGCTCCATCTAGACATTATCCTTGATCTACAAACAAGAGGATACTAGTAGCATGACTCTCATTATTAGGAGAGGTTATATAGTTCATCACTCATTCTTATGAATTTACTTGTCAAAACATCAAATTTTTGGATATTAAAGAGGTAGTTCAACCCATATTTAGACATGATGAGGATAGCATAACACTATAGGTAATAAAAAAAATTGAACTTTGCAATGATATGGGGCTTAACATGCACATCAAGAGGATAAGACATGAATGATGATACATTGGAGCCATCCACTGTTGGCGATGCCAACCCATCTATTTATGCAAATTCTAGCCAATCTAGTTTTATGATAAGGTTTGTGGATCCATTTAGCATTACAGTTACAACTTCATAGGATCCACTTGAAATGACAAATACATCATATGAATTTATTGGCCATTATTTTACCACCAAATGAGTGGAATAGATGGGGTGTTTCCATGTTAGTAGTAATTGGCAGTCACAACAATATAATAATTTGCCTTATCATCATTTTGGATTGAGGCCTAGAGTAGCCCCAATCAGTACACTATACCTAGATCAATATTGAATGCCTTCTACAATCAACTTCAATCATGGAGCAATGTAATCAAGTTTCAAGGCCCCAACAATTGAACCAAAAGAATGAAGAGGTGAGACAACAAATCATCTACAAGATAAGCTAGTTTATGCTCCTCAACATTACACACCAGACAGAAGTTGTACTTTCCAAACATAGCAAAACAAAGCAATAGATGAATTGGCATTATCTTTTTAATGTTTGCACTAGAGATTGTGTTAGTTTGTACTTTATTATACTCTGAGTTAATAAAATCATTCATCTCATCTAATGGATTGAGTCCTTATCTTTTAATGGATATGATGTTATCCATTTTATGTTAGTTTACTTCAATGAATTAACATATTATATTGCTTTCACATATAAAACATAAGAGTTTTGTCATTTTACTGAATAAATTTTGTTCTGGTAGATTTAATATAAACCATAAATTAAACAGAAAAATACAGAAAAATTCAGCATAATAATTTCTCATTAAAAATGTAAGAAAAAAAAATAAAAAGCAACAACTTAAAATTTTAAGTAATTCATAAAATAATTTAATTTAATAAATCTTACAAATTAATATGATAAATTCTAAAAGCTAATTTGAATTTTTTTTTAAAAATGTTATTATTTTTAGAAATAAAAAATAAAAACAGGCCAATAACAGATTAAAAAAACATGTTTTTAAAATTAAAAGAAATAAAAAAATAAAAATAAAAAA